GCATATAGGTGTATAGTTAGTATAAGTTTGTTAGGTTATAAATTTAAAAGTTGATAGGTATAATTTGTGCACATCAGTGTATTTTAAACTTTTCAAAATACTAGGGTTTAAAATTAATCTTTCGAATTAAACAATTAATAATAATTAATTTTAAACTAAAATAATGATTTAATATTTTATCTTAATTAAACAATTAACTAAATAAATTTAAATTGTATTATTTACCAATTAAACAAATAATTAAATAATTTAATTTCATGGACTAAATAATTATTACTAATTAAACAATTAATTTAAATAATGCAAATTTAATCCTAATCCCTTATCCTTCTAATTTTCGAAAAGGGGTAGGGTTTATCATGTTTTAATTATTCGAATTTTAAATCATATTAAAATAATAATTAAGTAAACTGTAAACCCTAGGGATAAACATACAATTTTCGAAAATAAGGGGGTGGTGGCTAGGGTTTCAGAAAACCCTAGCCAAGTCGAAATTTAAGCCTTTAGGGTTTAATTTCCATAAACCCTGATTTTGATCAATCCATTTTAATGTATAATCAAATAGAAAACTAAGGTTTTGATACCAATGATGAGTTTTCTAGGTTATAAACAAAAATTACATGTGGCGGAAAAAACACTTAAACCCTTAAGTTCACATGCAACCTAAAAAGGATCTATGTTTTCTCTATTGATAGCAACTAACTATGAATATCAAGAAACCCTAGGAGAGAGGATATAAAATCGAAATTCATAAAAAATTAGGGTTACATAACTTTTGATATTATTGCAAATAATCAAAGTAGAATCCTTCTTCTAGATCTTGGAAAACTAGCACCAAAGGAATAGATGTCTCTAATGGCTTATACCCCAAACCTTAGTAGCAAGAAGAGGCTTGAGAAAAATTTCGGCTCTATGAAGGCAAAAAAGAAGTTGACGAAATAATGAGAGTCAGGGAGGAGTTTATATAGTTGAAGGAAACTTGAGGCCAAAGCTAGGGTTTTTGGGATAAGGACAAGATTAATTAATATAATAATAAAACTGCCTTATCTCCTTATCCTAAGCCTCATGAATGAAATTTCTAGGTTATTCCTAGCCAAATTTTGTTCACCCCATCCCATGGGGTTCTAGAAGTTTCCTGTTTCAACTTTCAATAAATAACCAAACAGTCCCTACACTTTTAATTAATTCAATTAATCCAAAAATTAATTTCAATTAATTTCTTATTAACTCTAAATTAATTATTATTATTTCTTATCAACATATTAATCATATAATATTTTAATAAACTATTTATTCCAATTTATAAATCATATAATAAATTAGCAATTCAACATTTTCTTCCAAAAGTCATTTTATCCAAATACTAGTTTTGATGGCAACCAAAAAATGACTTCGCTTCAAATTCAAGAATATACCAATTTAGTTATTGGCTTAAACACCTTAATCCAACATATAGAAGATTTGAAGATTTGTTGATCACTACTTCATTCTTGTCATGATTGAGGTCTTATTTGTTAGTCGCTCTTTTGGAACAAGAAGTCGAGTCATCCATTCCAAACTTTGTGGGGGAGAATGTTGGGGGTGCAAAACTCTCTAGGTGGTGATGACTTGAAGACTTCACCCCTTTTATGAAATGTGTGGAAATTGAAGCCTTGTGACTTATAGGTAGTGCTTCCTTATATATAGTAGTTCATTGTTCTTTGTAGGTTGAGAGAGCTCCCATTTTGTATGGATGAGTAGATTAGTTTGAGAGATAATATTGTAGGATCAAGCACATTCTACTACAAGTTTTGTTCTACTCCGTTTTATCTTTACAATTATGCTTAAACGTTAATTCGTTCTTTTCGATTATGCACTTCTACATTTCCGCAATGTCAAATAAAGCTTCACATCCTAACACATACATTACCATATACATAACAATACGACCTATATTAGCCAGTAGGCTTATTTTATCCCAAGTGATATGCTTTGGGAAAAATCATAGTCTTACAATCACTCCTGCAACAGACTATTTCAGTTAATGGGTTTATTTCAACCCGAGTGAATGCTACAGGCCAAATTGCAATCTTAGACCATCTCCAATCCATTTCCATTTTTCCCCCAATTATGGAGGAATTAATGGAGTAAACAGTGTTTCATCTCCAACTCTAATCCATCTTTTACCCTATTTTTTTATCCTAAAAAGAATATTCCTAGTATATTCCATTTTGCAACTTACATAAATTATTAAATACACTCCTTCTACTAATTAGTTTTTAACAAATATATAATCTATTTTTTTACATTACAACAATGTTAAATAAATTAGATTATATTTATAACACACTTATAAATAAATATTATACTTGAACTAGATACATAAAAAATAAAGTTTATAATTATAAGCTTTTATAAAATAGGGAAAATCCCAGAAAAAACCCTATATATTATAGGTCAATGCTTAAAAAAACCATTATATTATTTCTTTGTTCGATTTAACCACTATTGTTTCCCAAACCATGTAATATATCTATTTTATTCGGTAAACCTAGGTTACCCGTTCTTTTTAGTGTACGTGGCATACGACTCCAATACATCGACCCCTTCTTTGTCACACCCCGAAACCGATGGCGGAAATGTTCTGGGGCGGAGGCCGTCATGTGTAGCATCACAACCAATGAATAATAGCAATCATAGCAACACAACCAGTACAGTGCATACTAAAATAAAAATGTTTACATCAGTTTGAAACGTTGTTTGAATTACATTCAATAGCTTTGTATAGTATAAACTTAAAACTCTTATTGCTCCCGTTCCTCGAAAATCCAGCAAGTACCTGTCTACTGATTTCCTGATAATACAAGCAGTTTAAAAGAGTATCAGCATAAAGCTGGTGAGTTCATAAGCGATGGTTTGTAGTGAAAATCATTGATGAGCTCGGAAAATATTTGTATAGTTTCAAGAAAATCTGATATTTTCCTTAGTGAAAATGTAGTGTTATCAGTTCTGTAATAAACCATGAATATCTGTATATTTCCAAGAAAATCCGATATTTTCTTTAGTGAAAAGGTAGCGTTATCGATTTCGTATAAAACCATGAATGTTCGTTACTGAAAACTGTAGTGATATGCGAAAATACTACCTCATGTGACTAGCTAAAACTAATCATGAAGTGTAAGTATTTTATATGTGAACCCATTGCATAATCGGTTCTGTTTGAAAAACCCTGGCTTTAGCCAGAATGCGTAGTGTGTATCAGTTCTATTTAGTAAAAGTAGAACTGTTGAAGAGTGTTAAGTTGTAAACTAAAGGTGATTTATACATATTGTGAGTCGTATAACCATGCTTGATATGACTAGAGACCTTTCCAACGTTCTTCAGGCGTCGAGTTAAATGACATGTGTACATCTCAGGCGTGCCCGCCTAACTGTTGCTAGCAGTCCAGATGTGGGATTGTCAGTCCCGAATAGATCTATTCACAAATCTCACGGTCTCCCTCCAGGAGACTCTGGTTATATAGTGGTAGGATTTATCCCTGTACACCTAAGGGTACAATAGTGAAGTAGCGCCTCACAGTATCGTACAATCTAGTTTACATGTAGTGTAGTAGCGTTCTATCGTAGTGAAAATCCGTATGTATACCGTATGTAATGATAATTACAGTTATGAAAAACCATGATAAAGTGGTGATGTAACTGTAAACTATTTCTGTCTTAGTGCATATGTTTAGTAGTGAAAGTTTTTGTACTCGTTATGTTTAGAAAATCCCAAACTATACCGATTATAGTTTGCATGTATAGTGAATAGCGTGTCCGGAAAACTATGCAAATTTTTGTGAAAACGTCCCTTATGCTCAACACAGTACAAAAGGGTTAAAGTATGAGATTTGCATAAGTTTTGAAAACATTTATGTTTAGCTTGTACTTCCCCCCCCCCTGAAAACATTGAAAATATGGAAAAATGTAGGGGTATGAACTCACGGTTTCTGAAGGCTGACCGTAAACTCAAGAACACTAGAGTTGAATGCTGATTTCGAAGAGATGAGTGCCCTGAGACGTTCCAAAGCGACCCAAACGTGGTTTTCTCGATGATTTCCGAAATTTGAAGGCGTTTTGAGTGTTTACGGTTAAGGTTCTTAGAGAGAGAAGAAGAGAGTTTTTGGCCAGAAATGTTCTAATGAAGGTGGAGGCATCGTATTTATAGGGGTGTTGTGGGGGGTCCACTCGTTACTGACCGTAAACAGGTTTACGGTCGTAAACGAGTTTACGGCCGTAAACACGTTTACGGTCGTAATCTCATTTAGACCGCAAATGCTTGATTTTTTCGAAATAATCGGGTTTCCGTGCGATTTTTTGGTTCCGACTCGTAAATAATTTAATTAAATATAACTAGATTATTTTCTAAACCAAGAAGTTTGACGGAAAAGTTAACGAATTTGAATTTTATTAACGGAAATCACGAAACGGAAACGGACAAAGTTTCGGGTTGTCACATTTTTTTACCTCCAATCGATCATTCTGTAAAAAAAGGGTTTGTCTAGGGAAAACTTCTTGGAATCAACCATAAAATTAGTGGTTAATCACAAGAAAAAAGGTAATCGACTTGAAAATCTCATTCACTTTGACTTTAACTTCAAATGTCTGCATTGATTCTTTAAGGAATCTTATTTTTTTTTTTGTCTGCATTGATTCGCTGTGACTTAAAATTCTCGTTCACTGTGACTTTAACTCCATAGATAGCATGTTTTATTTACTTTTTTTTGTCTGCATTGATTCTTTAAGGAATCTTAACCAACAACTATTGTTGGAACATCCATGTGAACAAACCCAAACATACATAGGGCTACATCTTTCTAACCTCTTACGTTCATATTCGATGTAATCGTTGGTTTTAGATGAGAAGAAATAACAGAAGAAGTTTCCCATTTGAAAGTAATATACTAGTGTTAATACAAATAGTTGTTTTTATAGGTGTTCAGCGTGTGCTTCTGGGTCTTAAGAGGCTGATTTCCAACAGCTATGACTTTAACTTCAAATGTGGAAGTTGAAGTTTATATGGAGGATTTGAATGAAACAGATGATGAGTCTGATGGAGAAGAATATGTTGCTTCTACAATGGACAAGACAATATGGGATCCTTTTTTGAATGATTTGGTAAGGGAGAAGTGGAATGGCCTGACATATCATCTGATGATGCTGAATGGACCTTTTCAAATGAAGAATCTGACAAAGGAGATAATATAGGTCAGAAATATGGGGACCAATATCTTGTACACAACCCTAGGATACCCTGAAATAAAATGGAACCCCACTTGGGGGAAAAATACGAAAGCCCAGAACAGTTCAAGCTTTGTCTAACAAATTATGTGGTGGCTAATGGATACCAATTGAGGTTTGCCAAGTGTGATCGTTCTAGGATATTAGTACGGTGTGGCAAAAAAAGTGATGAGAATAAGTGTCCATTTAGATGTTGGGTATCTTGGATGGGGAATGAACTAACTTGGCAAGTGAAATCTTTGGAAAAGAAACATGTTTGTGCACGAAAATACAGCCTCGGGTCATTGATAACTCCGGGTTGGATTGCTAACCATTATCTTAATGACCTAATTCGCAACCCCAAAACGAAAGTCAAAGAAATGAAAGCTGATTTTTTACAGGATTATTCTTTAAAGCTTAGCAGAGGTCAGTGTGAAAGGGCAAGGGCATTAGCATTTACACTAATTGATGGCAAGTTGACTGATCACTATGCTAGGATATGGGATTATGGTCATGAAGTTTTGAGATCAAACCCAGGAAGCACTGTTGAAATTGGAGTCGATGTCAATCCGGATGCAAAATATTTCAAAAGAATTTACATTTGTTTGAAGGCTTTAAAAGAAGGATGGTTGAAAGGTTGTCGTAAGGTGATTGATTTAGATGGATGTTTCTTGAAAGGGAAAGTTAAAGGGGAGTTTATAGTTGCCATTGGTCGAGACGGAAACAACCAAATTTACCCCATTGCATGGGCGGTTGTGAATGTAGAAAATAAAGATAATTGGAAGTGGTTCATCGAGTTACTACAATCGGATATTGAAACAGTTGAAGGAAATGGGGTTACTTTAATATCATATCAACATAAGGTAATTTTTTACTTTTTAGCAAATTTTGAGATATTAGAAATGATAAAACAGCCCCTATGTTAAAACAGGCCTTATGGACATTTTTGGACACTTTTTAGCAAATTTTGACATATTATAAATGACAACACAGCCCATATGTTAAAACAGCCCCTATGGACATTTTTGGACACTTTTTTAACAAATTTTGACATATTATAAATGACAAAACAGCCCCCTATGTTAAAACAGACCCTATGGACATTTTGGATACTTTTTAGCAAACTTTGACATGTTATAAATGAAAAAACAAACCCTATATTAATACAGCCCCTATGGAGTTAAAACAGTCCTTACTTATGGCGAAACAGCTCCTATTATATCATAACAGCCCCTACTTATATTGTATATAAATACAGGGTCTTCTTGAAGCCGTGAAGGAGGTGATGCCACATGCTGAGCACCCACATGCTGGAAAAAAAAAAGACAAAGTATTCAACTGTTTCGGGTAAAGGAAAAATAAAGAAGTGTCACAACTATTTACAGGAAGGACACAATGCTAGGACATGCAAGAATGAAAAAGTTATTCCCCCTCCTAAGGAAAAGAAGCCTCCTGGTAGGCCAAAAAAACCACATTCTGATGAAACACCTTCAAAACGACCAACTACAAGTGGTGGGAGAAGAGGAAGAGGAGGACGAAGAGGACCAACTAGGGCAAGAGGTGGAAGAGGATCATCTGTAGGTACAAGTGGTGGTAGAGGAGGAAGGTCACTTATAGATGAAATCTTTGATTCACCAACAGAAAATGAATTTATAAACATGTTTGATAATTTTGAGGAAGAAGTATTTAGGGATGAAATGGAAAGGGGAGAAAGTACACATATGATGTAATTCCCTGAATCACAATTTGATGAAGGAGTTCCTATAACTCAAGATGATGGAGTGCCTGAAACTCAATTTGATATTGAAAATGGTAAGAAATAATTTCATCTATATGTATTCTATACTTATATTAAATGTAATACTTTCATAACTTTTGCAGCTAATTGGGAAGATCAATCTCATGTGGTTGGCGGGATAGCAATTAATGTACCTATTATCCGTGAAAAGTTCAAACCAAGAAAGCCATCTGGATGAGCATGTAGGTGGAATACTAGATTCAGGAGCCAAAATGGGACACAAATCTAGTCTTTTGTTAATTTGGAATACTAGATTTAGGAGCCGAAATAGGACAAAGCTCTAGTATTTTGTGATGAATTTTGATGCTTGGAATCTAGTATTCCTATTCTTTTGTTATTGAAATGTAATTCAATTATGTCCCTTTAACAGGTTATGTTAACTGTTTTGCATTTTGTTCCATATTATGTGTTTTGCATTTTGTTCTTTTAACATGTTATATTATGCTAAAGACCCAAACCAAGGGCAAAACGGTCATCTCCAGTTTTAGCTTTTTCTTTCCTGCAAGATAAGTTGTTTTGTTCCATTTTATTATGTTTAGAAAAGGGTGTAATCTACCATAACGATTGTATTTTATGTCTAGTAGCTAAAGACCTAAACCAAGGGCAAAATGGTCATCTCATGTTTTCTGTTTTTTCTTTCCTGTTTTTTGTTTTTTTCCTTTCCTGTGAACCTGTAATAATTTCCACATCAGGGGCATTATTGGAATTTTTCGTGTTTTTGTTTTCCTTTCCGTGACAGTCTTGAAATGGAGGGTAAAATCGGGATTTCACTATGCACATGTGAGTTAAAAACACTCTGAAAACCTGTAATCATTTCCAATATGTTTTCTTGTGTTTGTTTTCCTTTTCTGTTTCCTTGTTTCTGTTTTTTCGTTTCCTTTTCCTAATATTTTTTCTGTTTTCCGTTTTTACCCCTGCTCCAAAGAACATGTTTTAATTGCTTTTAAACGCCTTGAAAAAGATTAAATAATGCAAAAATGGCAGCTACATTTGTTAAAAAAATAAGTACTCATTAGCTACACTATTTGGTTAAAAGTTTATGATACGAATTTACTAAATATTGACAACTTGTTATTACTTACAAGAAAGCTCCCACTATTGTCTGTACACATAGTTTTTTCACATTATATGTGGCAATTAAACATTACCAATTAGCAAAAATGTACTTTTTATTAATTCCAAGGATAATTACATAAGAAAGATAATTACATACAAGCATAAACAAATAACCACACTAGGAAGATAGTTAGAATGTACAGGGGAATTTAATTACATGGCTTCAAAATACATTGGTTAAACATTGATTCAAGGTACATTGCTTAAACAAGCTTGCAATACTTTAACATACCTAACCTGCCCTATTACATAATTAGCGATATTAAATTAACCTAACTTTCCATATTACGTAATTATAAAGTAAATGAAAATGCTAACAAGAACAATACCAAACATCACCCTAACCATGAACATATCAATCTCTTTTTTTTCAATCACCTTAAGCTTCATCAATTTATTCTGCAAACATATGTTCCCCTTCTCCAGTTCCATATTCTTCTTGGAAAGGATCATATTATCTTTGAATAAATCCATATTCTCCCTATTCAACTCATCAACTTTACTCTTATACCTGTGAAGACCCAAATCCTTATCCACCCATACAAAAAATTTACAATCTTTTGAAGAATCCTAGAAAAAATGAAGTATTTTAGTAAACATTAGAGAAACGACATCAATCTTAAATAATTTCGTATACCAGAGAATTACGGCACCGAATGAAATGTCGGCCTGGGTTCTTCTTGGTCGTTGAAGTCCAGATATTTGGTTGTTCACCACATTTACACAATACGTTTTTGTAGCTAGAAGTTGAGAAGGAAGAAGAAGAACCATATGATTGATCGCCCATTTCAGTTGCACAACAAGAAATCAAAAGAAGAAGTAGAGGAACGTAAGTTTTGAAGAGAAGAATCGCCCATTTCGTTGAGGTCCAGATCTATTAAAACCCACGTCATTTATTAAATGACATGTTGGTTAAGAGTGGCCGGTCACAAAACATTAAAACAATCAAGGTCAGACTAAATAATGGTTAAATTAATATAAGGGTTTTTTTAAACATTGACCTATAATACATAGGGTTTTTCTGAGATTTCCCCTATAAAATACGTTATCGTGTTACAAAATTTTGATATGTATTTAAATTTTTATATAAATTCGATACATAAAAAATAAAATTTATATTTATGATTAGTTAATATAACTAGTAGATAAAAATAAACTTGAAATGTATAAATATATGAAAAGATGGACTAAAAGTTGTTGGATTAGGTGTCTAAGCCATAACTATAATTGATATGTAGTTGACCCGATAGTAGCATGGTCCATTTCGGGTTGCCTTCACCAGGACAATTTGATAGATGGATATTTGAGTAAGAGGTTATTTATGATTTATTAATATATTATAAGTATAATATATTAATTGAGGAATCATATTGTTTAATTAGTATTGATCAACAATTAATTTAGAATTAATTTAGTGATCAAAAGAGACTAATTAAATTGATACATATGAGTTGGGCTAATGATCCATGGTTTGATTTGTGATGGGCTTTTGGGTTAATCCATGAAGTATTTATCCAAATCAAATGGGTGGATCATAAGTTTATGGGTATGGATTAGGGTTACACATGACCCTTGATATTCTACACACACACATACACACACACACACACACACACACATATATATATATATATATATATATATATATATATATATATATATATTCATAAGCTAAAATCGGTTAGACCTTGCATTCCAAGAAGTAGAATCTGATTTCTAGTCTCCTAAATCTCTCTCATATCCATCTAGCTGTTTATTGGTGTTTGTGACTTGTTTGAGGCACAACACTTGGGGTGCTAAGTTCTCATAAGGCCAAAGTCTTACTATTACATAAAAGGTAATCTTCTAACTAGTATTATGATTCATGTATCAAATTTTGTATGCTAGTTTAGGCTTCATGTTTTGGATATCAATGTTGCATGTATAATTAGAGAAAACTTAGATCCAAAGCATTAGGGTTGTATGTGCACCATAGGAATGTTAGAGTACATCAAACTCAACAGTGGTATCGGAGCCATGGGTGTTTTCTATTGTATTGATGCAATTGTGTAATTTTCAAAGCTGAAAAAACTGCATTTCGGGTTTCTGCCAGGGCCAACTCGCCGAGTCCATCATTGAACTCGACGAGTTAGATGATGTTTGCCTTGAACTCGACGAGTCCATTATGGCACTCGACGAGTTGGTGCATCCGATGGCAGAATCTTTGAGTTTTTGGCCTGTTTTGGATTAGGAACATTACCACAAACTGTTTTGGTTCATAAAATTCGATTTTAATGATACGGTAATGTTAATCCCCATCCAATAACATGATGTTATCAAATTTTAAGATAATTACTTGATTTGTGAAAAAGAAAACTAGTTATTTGTAAAATTTGAAGTTATCATGTAATATGAATCAAATTAGGTCAAGTTGGTAAATAATCATCATATGATAATTGGATTAGTTAATTTGATCTAGAAGTGTTTCTTGAAGAGTTCCATAACTTGTCCTCAAGTTATGGAATATGAAAAGTCATCATTCATGAAACATTAATTCTCATAAGTTATGAAATTCCAAATGTCTTGTAAAGTTCATAAATTGTCCTCAAGTTATGGAATTGGAAAAGTCTCATCAATGAAACCATAATTCCATCAGTTATGGAAATCAAAGGTTTTGACAAGTTACAAAACTTGCCCTCAAGTTTTGGAACTTGAAAAGTTACATTTATGAAACTTTAATTCCAAACCCTAGAATTTTAAAAGTTTAAAATTCAATCCTTACTATTATAATATTAAAGTTTAATATTTATATATATGTGTATAAGACAAGTCAGTCTTACCGTTAGTATGCCTCATTCACGAAGCCGGTCTATAAGGGGGGTATAAGGCTACTGACTATAAAATGGTGGTTTAATGGGTGTCCACTCTCACCCACCGCTTCCTTGACTGGTAGAGGGTCGTTAGCCGAACGGGTAGGATAGGACATTAATTGTCATTAATAAGTATAATGAAATTATAAAGTAACTAAACTTTTATAAATTCTCAATCTTAGTTACTTTAGGAAAAATGTGAAAACGGTGCTATTCCATGAAATTGCACTTTGCACCTTGTTAAGTCGTTAGTGGAGCGTGTGTGGTTAACCGGCACACTAATTTGGGACTGACAATGTGTGGCAATGGGTAGCTCGGTGTTAATCATGGATCAATGGAGTGTGTGTGGTTAACCAACACATTGATTAGGTGATTTGTAACATTGAGAGTACCAAGTTAATTTGCATGGTTATTCACACCTTGTTTGTGATCCTCGGTATCCCAGTCACAAACTTGAAGGGCATAATCGAGATTTAAACATGTCATTGAAAAGTTCAATGAATCTTAAAAGAATCTAGGAATTTCAATTCTTTTAAAACTTAATAATCTATTTCATTTTTCATGGTGGAAATTGGTAAATTGTCATTTACCTACCTTCAAATATTTTACAATTGGATTACGACATCCCTATCCGAATTGTAAAATATTGTGTTGGGTCCTAGCCTTAATATTCCATTTTGGGTGTTATATTAAGGATCCTTATCTAATCTAAACTTTGACTTTCTTTTCAGATGTCTACTTTAAACAATGCTTCCAACCCAATCTCTTCCGGCTCTTTCTCCCTCATGAACTTATGTGTGAGGGTCATCTTCGATGGATCGAATTTCAATGATTGGATTTGAAACATCCGAATGGCTATTCGTTATGAGGACAAAGAATATGTCATTGATAAAGAGCTTAAGGAGATTGATGAATCTACTGCTACTCCCAAACAGATTGCTGAATACAAGGCCCATGAGAGGGACGCGACCAAAGTGTCGTGTATTATGATTGCCACCATGACTGATGAGCTTCAGAAGTCCTATGAGGACTTCTGGCCTTATGAAATGCATTAGAATGTGATGGAAAGGTACCATCAAAGTGCACGGCAGGAAAGGTATGAAATCATAGCCTCCATGATTACTACAAAAATGAAGGATGGAGAGTCCATCACGGCCCACTTGCAAAAGATGTAAAGGTTTGTGGACCGCTTGCTGAAGTTAAATGTCAACTTCGATGAAGAGTTGGCCATAGATATCATTCTACACTCTTTACCTCCTTGTTATGATCAGTTTCGTATGACCTATCATATGAACAAGGAGGAGGTCACTCTAAGCAAGCTTCAAGGCATTTTAAGGACTGTTGAAAGTAGTCTTAAAGGCATTTTAAGGACTGTTCAAGGCATTTTACTGCCCCTGTCTTGGCAATTTGACATGGGAAGGGAAAGAAGAGCAAAAGCTTCCTCAAAGAGCCACAATGGGAAAGTCCAATGTTGGATCCTCTTCTAGTGGGTCCAAATGTGGTCCTGCTACACCCTCCTCAAACCCAAAGGAATCAGAGTGTTTCCATTGTCATGAAAAAGGGCACTGGAAGCGAAGCTGCCCCAAATACTTGCAGGACATAAAGGATGGGAAGATCAAACCCTCCTTCGCAGGTATTTACACTATTCTGTCTAATAACTCATCACATGCTAATTCTTGGGTCCTTGACACAGGATGTGGTTTTCACATTTGTTCTGATTTGCAGGGACTAAAAGAAAGTAGGTATGTAGAGCACGAGAAGATGAACTTGATCATGGGGAATAGGAAAAAGTCGCATGTCACCAAGATTGGAGTTTATTCTTTATTGCTTAGTAATGGTTTAAAATCAGATTTGAATAATTGTTGCTACTCGTATGATATGGCAAGGAATATTATTTCCTTTCACAGTTTGTATGAACAAGGTTTTACCTTTTCTTTTAATAATGAAATTGGTGGTTTTAATGCTTATTTTAATGATGTACTTTATTTTGAAGCATTGCCTTGTAATGGTATATATGAAACTATGATGGTTGTTGATAACTTAGGAAATAATACGTTGCATATCGATTCATCCAATGATTTGGATAAAGCATGCTTATGACATTGTCGTCTTGGACATGTTAACAAGAAGCGCATAGCCCAACTCCAAAAGGATGGAGTGTTGGAGTAATTTGATTTAAAGTCAGATGACACTTGTGAATCTTGTTTACTTGGAAAGATGACAAAGTCACCCTTCACTGGCACTTGTGCAAAGAGTGAGGGTCTTTTGGATCTCAAACACACAGATGTGTGTTGACCCTTCTGAACCGCCACAAAGGATGCTAACCGCTTCTATGTGACTTTTACTGTTGATTATAGTAGATATGGGTATTTATATTTTATCAAGCATAAGTCAGAAACCTTTGAAAAGTTCAAAGAGTTTAAGCAAGAAGTGGAGAATCAATTGGGCAGGAAGATAAAGATGCTCCGATCTGATCGAGGAGGAGAGTATCTTAGTATCGAGTTCCACGACTATCTTAAGGAATGTGGAATTGTTTCACAATTGACGCCGCCTAGGACACCACAACTTAATGGTGTGGCTGAGAGGCGCAATTGAACCTTGCTGGACATGGTTTGTTTTATGATGATTCGAGCTTTGTTACCTATCTCATTCTGGGTGTATGCCTTAGAGACTGTCGCCCATATCCTTAATCAAGTCCCAACTAAAAAGGTTTCCAAAACACCTCACGAGATGTGGACATGGAAGGTTGCCTCATTAGCACACATCAAGGTTTGGGGTTGCGAGGCTTTTGTGAGAAAAAAAACTCACGACAAGCTCGAACCTCGAAGTGAGCGATGTATTTTCATCGGCTACCCACAAAAATCCTTTGGATATCTCTTCTATAGACCGAGTGACAATGTTGTCTTCGTTGCGAGGAGAGGA